GTTGCAAGTCCACCCCCGACTTGCAACTCGAGGGATGTAGTTTGCAATCGCCCCATTTGCAAGAAAACCATGTACTCACAACTCGGGAGGGTGTAGTTTTGTAGTTGCCCTAGTTGCAAGTTGACCCTCAACTCGCAACTCGGGGGTGTTGTTTTTTGTTCTTGTTTCATAGTAGTTGCAATTAGACCCTCGATCAGCAACTAGGGGTTTCTGTCGGCCTAGTTGCAAGTCCACCCTCGTCTCGCAACTCGGGAGGGTGTTGTTTTATTTTCACCACAGTTGCACACCCCCGACTTGCAACTCGAGGGATGTAGTTTGCAATCGCCCCAGTTGCAAGTCCACCCCGACTTGCAACTCGAGGGATGTAGTTTGCAATTGCCCCAGTTGCAAGTCCACCACCGTCTCGCAACTCGGGGAGGGTGTCTTTTGTTGTTTGTTTTCACCCCAATTGCAAGTCTACACCCGACTTGGAACTCGAGGGATGTAGTTTGTAATCACCCAAGTTGCAAGTCAATCGTGTACTCGCAACTTGGGAGGGTGTAGTTTTGTAGCCCTAGTTGCAAGTCCACCCTCGACTCGCAACTTGAGGGTGTTGTTTTTTGTTCTTGTTTCATAGTAGTTGCAATTAGACCTTCGACCTGCAACTAGGGGTTTCTGTTGGCCCAGTTGCAAGTCCACCCTCGACTCGCAACTCAGGAGGGTGTTGTTTTGTTTTCACCCCAGTTGCAAGTCCACCCCCGACTTGCAACTAGATATGTATTTTGTTTTTCATCCCAGTTGCAAATCCACGCTCGACACACAGTTGGGCTTATAGTTTATTATTGTCCCAATTGCAAGCCCATCCTCGAATCGCAAATGATATTTTAGTTTTGTGTAGTTGTCCGAGTTGCAAGTCCTCCCTCAACTTGCAAGTAGGCTTGTAGTTTGTTTCGTCCCAATTGCACTTCCATCCTCTATTGGTTTTCTGGTTATTCTTTTGGTTTTTTCTATTTCTTTTTTTCTTTTTTTCTTCTTCTTTTGCTTCGCATTTTGTTTTAATTTTTTTTGAACATTTTCAAATATATGAACAATTTTCAATTCATGAAAATTTTGGAGCTTTGTGATTTATTTATTTTGAATTGGCGAACATTTTCTGAATCCACGAAATTTTTTTAACACTTTTGGATGCACGATCAATTGTTCTATGTGTTTAAAAAATTATTTAGTGTATATTATAAAAATGTTTAACCGTATATTTAAAAGGGTTCTACGTATATTAAAAAAGATTAAGTTTGTATTTAAAAAATATTTAGTGTGTATTAAAAAAGCTTAGTGAATATAATTTAAAAGGCTCATTGTATATAAAAAAGTTCACTGTATATTAAAAATGTATATTACCACAAATTCGTGAACATATTTCTGTTTTTTTAATCAAACTTTGTCTTTTACTGAAAATTAATGCATAAAATATAAAGAGTGGAACGGGAAAGCAAAAACCAAAGGGCAAAAAAAAAGTCATTTATAGCCTATTAGAAGCTAGCGATTAGAGACACGCCGCTAAAAAGTGGGCAATAAAACGTAAAAACTAACTAATCGATGGTAGAGCTAATTTATTTTCACTAATATACATCTGATCACTTGCTTTTCCTGGAAAAAAAATCTGATCCTTAGCTTCAAGTAGTGACACAACACAACTTATCAAGGTGCTTGCTGCTTCTCCCTACGTCGCCATCCGATCTAATATGATCTATTGATCTACCATGCACGCACAGGGAGAGACACATGTAGCAAGAAGGAATCTTCGGCTGGCTGATGCACAACGTAAAAAGCTAGCCTCACTACGAGTTGTCGGACGTATAGGCCGGCCCATCGAGGCGGACGTGAGCGTGAAACAAATCAAAATTGTAGACAAATCAAAATCAAACAAATAAACAATAAAAAGCGGCGATGACATCATACTTAGATGTGAGATATTATCTCACATCTAGATGTAATATAGACGGACCTAAATAAATTACGTAGAAGCACTATGCATGTACGTATGTTGATATCCACCTAGGAAGCTATAAGAAATTCTACACCTTACGTGATTCACATAAACATTTATCATTAGGACCGTTTATGGAAAAAAAAAGCAATATATCATTAAGATCGACACTTCTTTTGTCTTCGCACGTACTGTGCACATATCAAGATCTTTAAATGATTCAGATAAATGTATATCATTTGGACTCTTGCCAGAAAAATAATAATATATCAATAGGAATAGAGTCCAGGTCTGAATTATCTCCTTCCTTTGCCCTTGCACGTACAATTTATGGGCACGTACATGCATGCGCAGGGAAAAAAAATAGACCACATAGGATTTGCATCAGAACTTGGGATGGTTAGGAGGAGACCACGCATAGATTTGCTTTTGGTTTTTCTTTCTACGAATCGGGAAGAGACCTAGGCCAGAACGCCTCCTTTACTTTTTTATTATTAGGAGGAAACGTGGAGAGACCCAGGTGAGCACCTCTCCTTTTTTTCACGTCGCATGCTTCATCCTACGGCTAAAGACACATTATATGCTAATCGGATGGATGCAATTTCTTAAATTTTAGGATTAACGTGGTGCCTCATATGGTGCCTTCAATTAGTAAATATAAGATATAAGATAAGATGCATGTCAACTAGGCAATTTTGATGATGTGAGAATTAAATGAAGAAAGAAAGTGTTGAGTATCACATCATGATATTGTATCATAATAAATATTATGCTACTATATGTCATGCATGTCAATAAATAAGATTATCTAAGATACTAATATATGATTCTATGCATGACGGATGTAGTATCGTACAGTATTATTATATGCATAATACTAAGTTATGATACTTCCCATGGGGACTTGACAGATATATTCCGCATTTATGAAAATGCATCGCTGTGTTGGCTAGGAGTCTGACTATGGGCTAGAATTCTGAAATGCCGAGATTACCCTAAACTGAAAATATTTTATCCATTCCACTTTTCTTGGCATGTGGAGGAGACATTATTAATTTGGTTCAAATTTGCAAGGCTTAATTTTTTGGTTGACTCTTTTGCGATGATATGTATCACCCTTGTGTCGTTCTTCATATTGAAATGATTGCCAAGGCGAGTCTGCGAGACCTTGACGAGATCAGCATGCAACCACAGATCGTCGGTCAAGGCTGCCTGACGCGGGCGCAGCAAGGCCAGTTCACACTAGAACCGGTAGGTAAATTGCTTACACACTTGTTTCAAAAAAAAATATTTTGCTTACACATGCATGTCCACAGCTAAACTTTAAAACGGAGTCAGTTCTGTCATGTACGTACGTGTATGAAAGCAGTTTGCCACCGAACAGGTACTTCCTACCTGCCATGATCAATAATGCTGAGGGACAAGTTTCATGGAATCTGTCGGTGTTGACTGACTTAGAGAAATCGTGTCGGTCGGGTCAAGCGAGATTCCATTGCCAGCAAATTTCATCACTGCCTTTGATGCGATCATGGAAGCATGACAATATAAATTTCCATCGCTACACTCCTTGTTGATGCACACTACTCTCGCTCTCGCACCCAGCTCAATGGCCACTCTATCACGCTCCATCCCCATTCCCTTCTTCATACTCATACTACTACTCTCCATCGTCTCTTCTTCTTCTTCTTCTTCTAGCCAGGACAACAGTACTGGCAGCGACACCGACCTTGCCGCGCTGCTAGCTTTCAAATCCCAGCTCGCTGACCCTCGCCGTGTCCTTGCCAGCAACTGGAGTGCAGACACATCCTTTTGCAATTGGGTCGGTGTCTGGTGCAGCCGTCGCAGGCAACGAGTAACCGCTCTGTCGTTGCCCGACACGCCTCTCGTTGGATCTGTGTCACCTCACGTTGGTAACCTTTCTTTCCTCTCCATCCTCGACCTCACCGACACCAATCTAACGGGTTCCATTCCAGCCGAACTTGGTAGGCTACATCGTCTTACGTACCTCAGTTTTTTCGGAAATAGCTTGTCAAACACCATACCTACTACCCTCGGGAACCTCACGAGGCTCAAGTTTCTTCATCTACCTTATAATCAACTCTCAGGCCAGATCCCTCCTAAGATGCTACTTCATATGCACAACCTTAGGGAGATTAATATGTATGCGAATGACTTGAGTGGCCAACTACCATCATATTTTTTCAACAATACGCCTTCCTTGACATACATCAATTTTGGAAATAACAGCTTGTCAGGTCCTATGCCACAAGCGGTTGCACACCTATCCATGCTCGAGGGATTGAACCTTGAGGTTAATCAACTCTCCGGCCTAGTACCAGAATCCATGTACAACAAGTCCAGGTTGCAAACGTTGGCCCTTGCAAGTAATGGTAACCTAGCTGGAATGTTTCCGAGCAATCAAAGTTTTAACCTTCCAATGTTGAAATTTATTTCGTTATCTGATAACAAATTTTTTGGCCGGTTTCCATCGGAGCTTGCATCATGCGAGTACCTGGAGATAATTGATTTGGGTGAAAATTCATTTGAGGGCATTGTGCCAACAGGGTTATCCAAATTATCCCACCTCCAGGTTCTTCACTTAGGTTATAATAACATTGTTGGTCCAATCCCAACTGCTCTTAGCAATCTTACCAGTCTTACATATCTAGATCTCAGCGGCGGAAATTTGACAGGGGAGATTCCACAAGAATTAGGTCTCATGCTGGAACTCTCATTTCTGTCTCTTGGATCCAATCAATTGATTGGAGAAATTCCAGCTTCCCTTGGCAATTTATCAAAATTGTCCGTTCTAATTTTGGCAAATAGTCAACTTTCTGGTCAAGTACCAATAACACTTGGGGAAAATGCAGCTTTGAGCAAGCTTATTTTGTCAAGTAACAATTTGGAGGGGAATCTAGACTTCTTGTCAGCGCTTTCCCAGTGCAAACAACTCCAGGTCCTTACAATAGAAGCTAATTCTTTCACTGGCATCCTCCCAAGTCTTGTAGGAAACCTTAGTTCAAAACTTGTTACTTTCATTGCAAGCAAAAACCAGTTAATAGGTGGACTTCCAGTTGCCATTTCAAACATAAGCAGCCTTGTACGGCTAGATCTTAGTGACAACCTACTCACCGAGCCAGTCCCAGGGTCCATCGCTAAGTTAGAAAATCTTGTATGGCTCGATCTCTCAAACAATGACATGTCAGGTCCTATCCCAATACAAATTGGTATGCTCTGGCGTCTAGAACAATTGTTTCTCCAAGCAAATAAATTCTCAGGCTCTATACCAAGAAGCTTTGGGAATATTAGTTTTTTAGAATACATTGACCTTCTAGTAACCAATTAAGTTCAACGATACATCCAAGGATTTTCCACCTAGATAAACTTCTCAAACTAGATCTTTCAAATAATTCCTTTGCTGGTGCACTACCGTCTGATGTTTCTGGTCTAAATCAAATATATCATATGGACCTTTCTTCCAACTTCTTGGTAGGAAGGATCCCAGAATCCTTTGACCAACTCAATATGCTAACTTTCATAAATCTATCGCATAACTCCTTCAAAGGTTTTATTCCAGGAACACTTGAAAAGCTAAAAGGCTTGGCATCATTAGACCTCTCATCTAACAACCTCTCTGGTACCATTCCCATGTTCCTTGCCAACTTTTCCTACTTGACTATCTTGAACCTCTCATTCAATAATCTGGAAGGCCAAATACCCGATGGAGGTGTTTTCTCAAATCTCACCTTTCAGTGTTTGACTGGGAATGATGGGCTATGTGGCGCTCCTCACCTTGGATTTTTGGCATGCCTTGACATGCCTCGCTCAAGTAATAGGAAATTGCTACAAATTCTACTCCCAACACTCACAGTAGTTGTTGGTGCCGTCGCCATTTCTATATACCTATGGTCTAGAAAGAAACTTAACAAGAGAGATGCCATAGCTAGTGATGATCCAACAGATGTGGTTGGCTATCAGATAGTCTCCTATCATGAGCTTATTCGTGCCACCAATAATTTCAGTGAAGAAAACATCTTAGGCTCCGGAAGCTTTGGAAAAGTCTTCAAGGGCCAACTGAGCGATGGTTTGGTGGTCGCGATAAAAGTTCTTGACATGCAGCTGGAGCAGGCCATCCGAAGTTTCGACGTCGAGTGTCAAGTGCTTCGCATGGCGCGACACCGCAACCTAATAAAGATACTCAACACATGTTCCAACCTTGACTTCAGAGCACTAGTGCTTCCGTACATGCCAAATGGCAGCTTAGAGATGCTCCTACACCAGTCTCAAGGTTCATTGCACCTAGGGTTCCTTGAAAGACTAGGCATATTACTCGACGTGTCGATGGCAATGGAGTATTTGCACCATGAGCACTATGAACTGATCTTGCACTGTGACTTGAAGCCTAGCAATGTGTTGTTTGATGAGGAGATGATGGCGCATGTGGCGGACTTTGGGATTGCAAGGTTGATTCTAGATGATAAGTCCATGACATGTGTGAGCATGCCTGGAACTGTTGGGTACATGGCACCAGGTACCTAATTAGCATGCTCTTGTTATCTTGTTCAACCAACTACTTCTTAAACCATTCCTAGATTATGTTCCCACCCAAATCAATATGGTTGAGCAGGTGTGCTTTTTTGTTTATATTTTTATTGAGCAGAGTATGGGTCTCTTGGGAAAGCATCACGGAAGAGTGACGTTTTCAGTTACGGAATCATGCTCCTTGAAGTCTTCACTGGAAGGAGACCCACCGATGCAATGTTTGGCGCACAACTAACCCTCAGGCAGTGGGTTCATCAGGCATTTCCTGCAGAGCTTGTCCGAGTCATTGATGGACAGCTACTGCAAGACTCCTCTGCTACTTGCTGCAGCTTGGAAGATGGCTTTCTTGCATCGGTGTTCGAGCTGGGTTTACTCTGCTCTGACGACTCGCCTGGCCAGAGGATGACGATGCATGATGTGGTTGTGACACTTAAGAAGATCAAAGGCGAGTACACAACAAAACACACAGCGACAATGTCACGTAATGCTGCATAGTGAGTTATCTTCATTGCACTTGGAACACCCATAAGCGTCACGGATGGGAAGGGATAAATCAGCAGTGACACATATTATGCACTTGGGATATACAACTATTTGATCATGCTTTTCTTCTCTCAGACTATGAGAGGGATGATGTTGGATGCGCTTCATGGCACGGCTCGTCGCCTCACTTCACCGCCGGCGCCATGATGGGGTGGCCACTTGGTGGTCTTTTTTCTTGCTTTCTTTGGGCGTGTTTGTGCTGAGGCCCCAGCAGAGGTTTTATTTCGCTTGTGTGCTACTTGATGTTTGGACTGGTTCGCCGAGAGTAGCAATCTCATAGAAAAGCAACGTTCTGAAAAATTGTGTGGATACACAGATGTGAGGACATCTCTTCCTGGCATACTAGATAAGAATCTGATAATGTCAAGCTTGGCTTCGGCAACCTCATGTCTCATAGTTGCAGTGTTATTTGCCAAAGAACAGTATCTCCTATAAGAATGAATAGAATGGTAGTACCCAATTGAGTCGGAGGCAAACCGAGAGATATCATCATGTTTTGCAAAAACAGTGGTGCCCAGCTGTTGGTGAAGGCTAGAAAGACTACAGGAATAGACACGCTGGGATGCGCTCAGGATACGGCGGAGTTTGCATTTCTATGAGCCCAGATATATGTGGAACAAGATGTATACTAAAAAATAAAGGCAATTCAGAGGATAGTAACAAATAATAACGTGGGTGAACAATTTTCAGCATATACACACCCACAGAACTGAAAGAAGTTACCAAGAGCAGAGGAAACAGAGTAGTAATGCATTTTCGTTTCATGCAGCTTTAATTTACTTCCGTTTTGTTCTTCAGTGGTGTAGCAAGTATGTGGATCACTGATACAAATCCCAGCCAGTGAGAGCACAGAGATATAAGTTACACCTTCTCCCTTCAGTATGTACAGTATCACTTGTCCCTGAAAGAATTAACCAAGAGCAGAGGAAACAGAGTAGTAATGCATTTTCGTTCATGCAGCTTTAGTTTACTTCCTTTTCTGCTCTTCAGTGGTGGCCATGCAGCAGGATGTTATGGCTTTATGCCTTCAACAAACAAAATGGAACGGCTTGACTTGTTAACTTAAAAAAGGATGCAGTGATTCCACACAAAAATAAAATACAAACACAAAAATAAAAAACAATTCAGTGCTTTCATCATATGGCTTTGTGTTTTAGTCGAAAAGTCAGTCAACAAACAAAATGGAACAACTTGTTAAAAGAAAAATGCAGTCATCAACTCTTATATAAGAGCGGGAGGGTCATTACTTTGGCGTTTACGCTTGAGCCCTTTCATTATTAGTAGTGTATTGTCAAAGGTGTTCAGGTTAACTAAGACATCCATACAATTGTCAGACAGTGATGGTTCAGTAGCTGCAGTGTTGGAGCACTGCCCATCCATACATACAGATAGTTAGTTCAACAGCCAGTACTGAGATGCATGATCTATTTCTGGTGGCCCAATTCAGTTTCTACAAAACAAATGAGATAAATCAGTCCTTTGGATGCTAGATTTGGATCTGTTACTTATTTCAAAATAGTTTGTTCTCCAGCAGGAAGAGTATTAGATCAGCAGAAATTTCCATCCACATCACACTTCCATCAGCAAGTGTATTAGTTCTGAAGAAATGCTTGCCAATGCAAGTAGAGCTTACTAAAGTGACCGATCGATTTATGCACTCACTCATTTAGTAGCATTTTATCAGTGAATGTGAAGAAAACAAACAGGGTACAAATCAGGTGGTTCGTGAATGCACACAGATCCCGTCTACTGACTGTGGAAGAATATATGCTTGATTTTGTCATCTCAACAACGTGAAGGGTATGTAACAGCGTGCTTTTGTCCCCATCCGTTTCAGAACAAAACTGATGAAGAATAATAACACACAGGCCATGCATGATCGAGTCAATCTGATTACTGTACAGTAATTCAACAAAGCTTTAAATTTCTGGAACAAGGGAAACTCAACCCCATTTTTTCATAAATTTTATGAAACATACAGAAATCAAGTATTTAGCAGAAATATTCTTGAATGCAAATAGAGCTTAGGTCCTACCGAATGCATAAAAGCTTCTGGGGACGGAGAGAAAACCCTTGTTCTGGCCTTTGCTCCTCGAGCTCAACAGTGGGTGAACTTGCGCCGTTATCCTGTTGAAGACGTTGTCTCCGTGACCACCAATGGCGTGAGGGTGTTTATCCTTTCTTGAGGCACTAGAACATGACTGCGCGCGTTGTCGCGCCCGTCCATCTTGAAAATAAATACATTATTAAGAAAGAATTAGAGTTGTAGAAACATTTTGTAATTTCAAGGAATAAAAATACAATGTCTTGATTTAGGCAGTGGGTTGTAATTTGGATTGTTTGATGGTTCTAATTCATTATTCTTAACTATGTCTCCTCTCTAACCGTGGGTTTGTTGGATTTATTACACTGTAGCTGTTTTTTGATGATATCATTGATTGGTCTTCTCTTGTGATATCTTTGATTCTGATGTTTTTGGAACATGGCCGTTAATGTCCGAAGTAGGGTAAGGCCTTGTATAATGCTAGATGCTTAGGGAGGTGTTTAGAAAAATAAATCGATTTTTTCTGAAGCATCAATGCTTATTGCTATGCCGTCCAGGTGTTTGTCCGAGATCTCTTATCAAGAACGTGAAGTTGCATGTTGCCTGGGCAACTCGTGCGAATAACGCAGCAAGAGAGGCCCAAGTGGGCCTGGGCGTTCTGTTATGGTTCATCTAGAAAGACAGAGAAGAATTGGGTCGAACTGCAGATCCATTCATCCCGGTAACACATGACGAGCTTGGTTGTTCCTTTGGGGCACCATAAAATGATTGTGTGCATAACTGAGATTAGTGAAGGGCTGGTGGAGGTAGCCGCGTGGATGGCGATGAAGAGATCCAGGCGGACAGCGTGAAGCGCGAGAAAGCCGCTGCCGTCCTCAACCATGCGCCATCGCGTGCCCACCATCGTCATTGATGCGCCACCAGCCCACTACAGCCTGCATTTTCAGCTCCACAAGAACGAGATGACGATGTACGTATGCAAGCAACATAAGTGGGAAAGCGAAAGAATCATGGAAGAAGCCCAGACGAACGACGCCGCCGCTGCCGCGGGGAGACGATCCTCTTGCTATGTTTTTTTATATCGTTTCGTGCAATGGATAAAGATAGAAGTGAAATAAACTGCATGAATCGGGCTTCCAATACACCGGCCCTATTCAGCCCGACTGATAACAGAGCGCCCAGGTCAGTCTGCGGAGCAGCAGCCCAGAGACGTTGGGCCAGCCGTGACAGGCGTGGTGGTGGTGAAAAATGCCTCTTAACGCTCGCGAGACGACCAACCAATCTGATACGTTCTTATATGGGATCCGACGGCTGACATGTTGAAAGCGCTGTGGATGGGCATAGCTCGCCCCGTTTTACTGTTTCTCAATTGCTGCGGAAGGGTCAACATAGTAGTAGGTGTTACAATCATATCTTGTAATGGTTCAGCCGTAGTTGAAGTGTGGATAACTAGCAGCTGCACCTGTCGAAAGATCCGTCATTAAGATGGTTTTTGGAACATAATTCATTTCCGGGGATAAAACCCTTCTTCTCGCTTTGCTGGTCGGGCTCTGGAGCGGGCGAACTTGAGTCGTTATCTTGTTGAAGACATTGTCTCTGTGACCACCAATGGCGTGTGGGCGTGTTGCTGCGGAAGAAGTTGGCATAGCCGTAGGTTTTACAATCATATATTGTAATGGTTCAGCCGTAGTTGATTTTGTTATGCACTTTTTAAAAATTTAGTTAAAGTAATTTTAAAATATGTATGTTTATTTATTTTGTTCATAGAATTCAAAAACTTCCTTCTGACTCTGGTGAACATTTTATGAATCCGTTAGTATTTATCATTTCCCGAACATTTTTCTTCAAATCATGAACAATTTTTGTATTCACCAAGATTTGACACTCTGCAACTGTTTTTAAAATCCGGAATTATTTTTTATTTAGAAAGGAAAAAGATATAAAACAGAGAAAAAAAAACACGGTGCTTCCCGCCCCGCAATGATTCCTAGCGCGTACAGCGCGGAATAGGGGCTCCCTTTGTCGTGAGTTTCGTTCGAGTATGGGGCAGAGTCTGAAGTCTAAACGTATACGCGCGCACCAAGCTGATGCCCGCCTTCTTCCACCGCCCACCTCCCAGCCAATAATACTAGACATACAGGGGCTTCTTCCCTCCCAGCAGCGAGCAGGTCCGTACGCCCGCGTACCTCTCTCGACCCTCGGCCTGGCCAACGGGTACTTGGCGCGCGCTGGGCCTGCCGGCCATGGAGGTGTAGTGAAGGAGACTCGAGAGAGCCCAGGCCTGTGTTTGTTGGATAATAACTGAACCAACGTTACCTGTGTCTTGTTCTGGTAGACAGTTTAGAGTGCTGACAGGAGCGGGAGGTGCCGCCGAGCAGTCGCAGTATCACTGCCGGTGAGGTCATCTGGCAGCACCACCATTTACTCGCCATCTGCAGCTTTCGTTTCATATACAGTACAATGGTAATTCAACTTCAGAGCACCGTCGATCTGGCAGCACCATCACCAGTTACTCGCCGCCATTCAGATATGTCTTGTTCTGGTTCAACTTCAGACTTCAGTGATCGAATAAATTTCATGGGCCAGAGAAACGCTGCAAAGGGGCCCCCATGACGCATCGACGTGGCACACGATCGGCAAAGACGATGCCCCCTTCATCACACTTGACCATCGTGCCACCCTAGCAGCCGCAATAGCCGGCATGACACAACTACTGATTGTACCTGTGCGAGGGACGAAGGAGAGGTGTGGAACGGTGGCGGGGGACAAGCGACATGGAGCCCAGGTGTAGAGTTGGAGGTGTCGGAGTCGCCAAATTCCGACAAGGGTGTGGCGGGGTGTCCGGGATGATGGAGCGGCGCCAAAGGCAAGAGAGAAAACGAATGTAGGGAAAGATGGAAGGATGAAG